TATTCAACCGCCGTATGACAAGGACTGTAATTGTCGAGCAAGACGATGCTTGACGCGACTTCCGGAAAATAAAAAGGAGCGTTGGTTCGAGACGTCAAAAAGGACTGATGAACGGACGTCCGCTGAAGAATAACGTCACAAAAGAAAAGGAAGAGAGATCTTGACAGATGGATGACAGGTTCTGCAACAAGCACCGCGACACCAGCACCAGGCAAGGGAAGGGGGGCGGCAACGGCAAGGACGCGGGGAATTGGACGTTGATCGGAGAAATAGAAAGGAACACACCCAGCAAAACGAAGACGAGGACCGTTGTGAGATATAGGGCAAGGTGGCGTTAGAAACGAAGGAGGGCGACCAAAGGGCTCTTATTCCGACCCAGCTAAGATCCGAGGGGGACGGGGGGCATGTCTGTCGCCTTGACACACTGCAACAGCGTCGTCGTTGTAGCTATCGTTGTCTTCGTCTTCCTCAGATCTTCACTCACCAACACCAAACTCTGCCTCTTTCTTTTGACTCTGCTCTGCCTCAACTGCCGCTGGAGCTATTCCTCCTGCTGTCCAGTGCTTGTCACATCACTCCAAAGCTGTAACTTGCTCGCGCTCTTCGCGCTGACCCAGCAGCGAGGACCAGAATGGGATCTGAACCGGGACAGAGAGAGACGTTGAACTACTAGGTCTACCCTATCCACCCAACAGGGCTCGTCGTCGTGTGTCGCGAAGCGGATGCCACCACCGGGCCTGCCAAATAAAGGATTTCTCGACTGCCAGAGATCTGTGCGCCGCCGCGGGGGCAAGGGTAATGTTCGTCCACGGCAACGACAGCGACAGCGAGCGACAGTGACTGGTGATGGATGACTAGCCTGCCCGACTGATGGGTGTGTGTGTGTACGTGAGCGTGTGGGTGTGGGTGGGTGGACGGGTCCGTGGACGGACGACCTTGCCGCTGTCCGGCCATTTGCTGGTTCGTCCCGCCTACCCAGCGCCCGTCACATGCGGAGGGGCCCTGTCGATGGATGGCATTCAGCAACTGAGAAGGGGGGGGGGGGGGGGGGGGAAGAAAAAGGGAAAAAAAAAAAAAAAAAAAAAAAAAAAGTGAGGTGGTGGTGAGGGCGGTTTCAGGATTGCTTCATGAGGTGCCGGGGTGTGGTGGTGGGATGAAGAGTGGATAGGGCCCAAAGGGAGTTTGAGCGTTCGCCTACCCCAATCTAGCCTTTCTGGCTGCGATACGTCCCGCCGTGATCTGCCTACCCGCGGCCATGCTTGAAGAGGGGTGCGTAGGCAGGTTATGGAGGCATAACAAGAGGCGAACTGTGAGTTGTGATAGGAACGGGGGGACACGCAAACGCTGAGGTCATTCGTGATGGGCGCCGGCAAATGCCACCGAGATTGGGTTCGCGGCCGCAGTCAGGTAATATGCAATATCGCCTCGACTAACACACCTCTTGCGGATGGGGGAATACCGCAGTATGTCGCCAACACCATGACTTGCAGCTCGACGATCATCTCTATTCTCATCGCACCCTGCGGCAATCCAAACAAGAACCAAGGCCTTATCCGCACACCGACCTGTCTTCTCCTCTCCTCCCGCTGCGCCCCTCGTTACAGCATCCCGTCTCCTTCAACTTCACATCATCATCAACCTGCGGCCGCCCCGATTCTCGTCTCCTCCCCCCGTTCCTGTCAGTCTCAGGCCAAGTTCCCCCAACGGCAGAAAAGCTTACAGGATACGAGCGAGTCACGCCGCCGTGCGTATCTTGAGTCGACGCGTTCTCGGTCCAAGCCTGCCGTCGACTCTGATGCCAAGAACTCTCTTTTTGCCGTTCATTCGCATCTTTCCGCACAGAGCAACCACTCTACCGGAATAAGCATACCCAGCGAAAGCCAGCCAACTCCCACCCCGCTAAGTGGGAGGGCCTGGGAAAAAGAGCCGCAGCGCGTGTGCCCTGTCCCCAAACCACGCCCCCCCGCAAGTAGCACCTACCGGCTCCAAGGAGCTGTCTCACAAACGGCCAAAACGGGGGCCCAGCCCAGCATGCCTGCCGCTGCTTCCCAGCTACCTGGGACTCCCGCAGACGAAGTCCAGCGCCTTTGTGAGCCCTCGGATTGGAGGTTTTACGATGTGATGCCGCCCTCGTTACTACGCTGTGATCCAGCGACAAACTGGACAGCATCTAACGCTGCCAGCGCGCGCCTCCCGTCCCGTCCTCCGTCTCCTCGGGGTGCATCCTTCGGGACCGACTCGCCCACGGTTCGAACCCTCGAAAATGGCAAACGTTGAGACTGGGCACCGATCCAATCTCGCCAGCCAATAGATTGAGCTTTGACTTTGGGCGGGGGGGCCGTGGAGTGCGCGAACAGACGCTCGAGAGAAAAAAAAAAAAATGAAAAAGAACAGAGGAAAAGGTCGTTATCGTTTGCCGAACCCCGAAAAGATGGTGGCATCTTCGCCCTGGAAAGTCAAAAAAAAATGTTGTTGGAGAGACAGAACAGCGGGTGGGTGCGCCGGAACTCTTCCCCCCCTGCTTGACTTGCTGGTGAGTTGGCTAGGTGGTTGACGGACTTGACAACGATCCAAGGGTCTTTTCCACGCCCGGAAGTTCTAGACTCTCGGACCCTTTGCGCCAAACCAGCGGCCCTTGGGGGAAATATTCTGCCTGCTCGCCTGCTACCTACCCCCCCCCCCCCCCCCCCCCCCCCCCCGAACGCTGGCATCTGCGAGACGAACAAGATTGTTGATGATGTAAAGAAACTGCTGCTAATTCCGGCCACACAAAGCCAAGACTGCTGATCCGCGAAACCGAATGAAGTCTGTCGATCTGCGTGGCCTGTGGCCGCGGGTTCGTTCAAAGTCGGGGGCCAAGATCGTTTCATGTACTTTTTTATCGCCCTTCGTCCCTGGATGTGACCTGCAGTCAGAGGGCGCTTCAGGGTCGCTGTGGTGGTTCTACGGCGGGGGGATACTCGGAGTGTTCTGGGGGGCACGGCGATCAGGGAGACGGACAGGCGGTGACTGGCGTGCTTGGCTTGTCGTGACGTGATCTGACTTGCTGACGCTCGGTGGGCCGCCTGTGCCCGCACTGATCTTCTTGGAGGCCTTGAATTTTGGGGGAGAGTGCTGGTCGGTGTTCAACTTGGTCTGGGCGGGATTCATGTCTTGGTGTCGTCGGTGAAGCTGCGATGGGGACGGGTTGTGGGGCTCTGTCCCGGTGAGGCTCCGGTGAGAGCTTCCATGTCCTCAGCCACGCCATGCCATAATAATTCGAAATCATCGTTGTATTGTCCTTACTGACAGTTAACAAGCCATATCTTAGGTTGAATTGACCAGACAAAGTGACACTGGACGCAACGATAAGTCATCTGTCTGTGGGAAGATACAAAAAACGTCATTACAGCCAAGTCTCTCCTGACCAACGAACTACATCAAGTGGTCATCCTCTGATTGGTGTCTGTGTGTTAATGGCAATTTAAATTGTTTTACTCCTTATAGGTAGTCTCTAATGGCCACATGGTGTTCTGAAGAGTGTGATCAGGGCAGCAATTCTTCGTTGTGAAGAGCCTTAGGACTCTGAATCTGCAGGTGGGCTATGCACCTTGAACACATTGGAAATACCTTTAATATTTAGTGACCGATTCATAATTATTCAGCTTCGTTAAATTCTAACTTAGTTTCAGCATAAATGCCTTTGCTAAGTTTATGAATTTGATATGATGACCTGCTTTGAACATTTGTTTCTAAAACAAGCATTTAAAGATATATAGGAAAGGCTCCTCCAGTAGACAACACCAGCACCTCTAAGACTTTTCTTCATTCACTTAACTAATACTATTGCAAAGTAGAAATGTCAAGATCGTCGTCCCGCCTTCGACGTTAAAAATTCTTTCTGGTTACTTTTGAATTTGTGCTCTGACTACATGTACCTACCTGAACTGATGGCCACAAAGGCAAAACACCACCACTGAGTTATCATTCCGATAATCCACTACATATAGTCTGTAGTGAAACATGCTTCGCTTTTAATATGTGTATATGTGCGACTTGTGAGTTTTCCCAACCCGTTCAACTACGTTGGCTGCGTGTCCGTCGGGCCTCGAAGCAACGAAGAAAATAATAACATTCAAGGCAACTAGACACAATCCCAAGTTTTTGCTCCATTAAGATAGGTCCATTGCTAAGACTGCCTAGAAAATACGCTCAGCTTCGGGGTTCACGTTGGCCACCTCTGTTTGGTTTCATGCTTGAACCTCACAATGACAACAAAACATTATGCCGATGCCAACAATCATTCTTTCCTTTCAGAGAACGCCAAAACACGAATTGATCCTTAGATATGCTGAGAAAAGAAGAAATTGAACCCTTTCGAAAGCTCTCTGTCCGAGGCAGCATCCCGGAAGCTTAATGATATCATAGAGTTCCGTATCCAAGCAGAGTCTGAACCCCGCACCACTCCAAGAGCGCCGACAACCTCTCGACTCATCTGAACAGCCTCTTACATCCACCTCAAGCATCCTGCAGCTGCTGCTCTGCAGCGAAAACCGTCACTATGGGCTGGGGCGGCAACCTCTATGTCGTCAACGCAACCCCGTACACATGGACGCGCGTTTATCAACCAGCCCCGGGCGCCGGCGACATGAGCGCCTGGCATCTGCCATCAATGATTGACCCAGGCAAGTCACGGCCTCCATACCACAGAAACATCACCTAACATGAATTAAGGGGAACTGGTCAAGGTCTACGCCGAATTCAGAACAGCAACGACAAACGACTGGGGCTTCACCCAATTCGCCGTCGGGACCGCCTCCTATCCCGCAATCGAGATAGGCATCAACGGCCGCGACTTCGGCAAGGGCAGCTACTACCTCCACCTCATCTCCATCTCAACCCTCGGCAACCCAAAAGGCACCAAAATCACCACGCCGTTCGTCCACGACGGCAGCGCGTTCCTCTTCCTCGGCGGCACCGAGGGGGCCTACGTCTCCTCAAACCCGCCGGGGCGGACCTGGATGCGGGACACCCTCCCCGTCATCGGCCACCAGTCCCTGCGAACGATGTGCCTCCTCGCGTCCCACGATGCGGGTATGAGTCTGAACCGGCTGGCGACCAAGACCTCGCCGTTCGTCACGCCGGCGAATGTGCAGACGCAGACGCTGGATGTGGGCGCGCAGCTTGCCAGCGGCGTGCGGCTCTTCGACGTGCGGCCGGTGGTGTCTGGCGGGGCGTACTTCACAGGACACTACAGCAATACGAAGTCGCCGCTGCGGTGGCAGGGCGCGAACGGGGTGTCGGTGGCGGAGATTGTGGGCCAGGTCAACGCCTTCACGGCCGCGTGTGCGGAGCTCGTGATCTTGGACTTCTCCCACGCGATAGATACGGACGATAGGTACGAGAACTTCACGCAGCGGCAGTGGGACGTGTTATTCGACATGCTCGCGGACCCTGTGACGGGTCTGAAGAACCTGTTCACCGCGCCCGCTGGGACGAGGGATCTGACGAGGTTGTCGATCAACCAGTTCATAGGCTCCGGCAAGGCAGCAGTAGTGTGCCTCATCCAAGCGGACCGGCACATCCGCATTCCCAAGAAATACGACGGCAGGGGGTTCTACATGAAGCACGCCTACTTCCCGGTCCGCCCGTCCGTGGCGTATTCGAACACGGACGACGTGCGGTTCATGATGTACGACCAGCGGCGGAAGCTGGAGCGGTACAAGACGCGGAGGGAGGACCCCGTTGTGGAGACGAGCTGGACTCTGACGCAGGTGACGGGCGCGGAAGCCGCCGGGTTCGGGCCGTCGATTCTGGAGCTTGCGTTCCGGGCGAGGAATCAGTTGTTCCCCAACTTGTGGGGATTTTGTATGGACGACGCGTTTCCGAACTTGATTGCGCTGGATAATGTCGATTCTACGGAGTATCTGGCTTTGGCGATGGCTGTTATGTGGTGGTTCAGTCTAGATGGGAAAGGGAGGAGGGCGGATCATCATCTTTGACGACGACTGAATGCGGATCATACGAGCGGAACAGCAGTTGCGATTCGGAAGGAGTCCTTATCAGGTGCCTTGGACGATATTTCTCGAGCATGTAAACTCACCATTTCTCTCACATATTGTCACTACTGCCCTGTGATAGGTTCTTGTAAGGAGCACTCGTTGATTTAAGGTATTCAACGGTCCTAGTCAACATCGAACCAAGGACTGCGTAAAGTGCCGTTTAGATTTCACGAATGAGATCCCTCAGAGCGAGTCCACATCTTTCCGAGGGCGGAATATCGCCGCACATCTTGAGGGCGGCACAGAGCGGAGACACCAAAACTGCTCACCTTGAAAACACTGGGATTGGCCCCATTTATTGTGGTCTGCTTCGCTGAGTCTCGGTGAAGAAACCTTAATTGGCCAATCAGGTGCGTCTCATTCACAAGCGGTCTCGCTTCCGTCCAAACGGCCCCGTCTTGGACCCTGGATGCAAAGTATGGACTCCCACTGCCTGCAGACATCGAAAGTCTGTCTTGTCAAGCAGTACAGCCTTGATTCGAGTAAGCAAGACATTGCCCAACGCTGAAATCGACCAGTCTGTGTGAGTGATTCTCAACGGCCAGAACCATTGGCAACGTTTTCGAGCACAAAACCCAGAGTCAGAGATAGGCTTTTCTCATGCCCTCCTAGCGGCCGAGATACGCCCATTGCCCCTCCATCTGCCCCGCCATCGGCCAGGCGTCCTGACTCTCCCCCTCGACCGTTGTGCGTCACCGCAGGAGGCGGAATGTCCCAAAATCTTCGCCAACGGCACATCTCTGACGTCGGGAGGACCCAGGGCGCGCACAATTGCCCCAACTGAGCCAAATCATGCCACCATACAGACAAGAGGCATTTGACATTGTGCCCACCGCAAGGGCTGAATCTCGACAGCAATAGTGACATGACCGGGACGCACGTGGAACCGCTGAGAGACCGGAGGCGCCCTTTCAGATACAGTGTGCATTACACCGCATATTGGAGCAAACATTGGAGGAGGAGCGGTGCCTCTCCGCGGAAGTCTTGCCCAAAAGATACTTGGCCACGCAGCCAACTGCCGGCGGGCGTGCCTCCGAACGTGCCCCGGGAGGACTGAGAGAGTGAAAATAAATAAATAAAAAAAATTGAGCAGTTCCCCCTCAAAACTCCATACATCATACACAGAGCGGAAGGAAGGGAAAAAAGCAGAGGCATCTTTTAAATTACATCCTCACACACAACAGCTCAAAACCTCCCAATTATTGCAATCCACTTTTCTCTGCCTACCTTACCCTCTGAGTCACACTCCCAGCTGCTTCTCCCCCTCCAAAAAGGCAGCTTCCTTCCCCTGTGGACGAACATTCATCCTCCCTCCTCGGTCACCGACGGCTCAAGCAGCAGATCCCACCACACACGCATTTCCGCACCCACGGCGAACCGGTTCCGCACGAACGAACGGCCTGGTTAATTGTTTTCGCAAGTCCAATGTAAGCCGTTGCCTGAGTTATGACCTTTCCGATTGGCTTTTGGCCGGAAGCTGTTGGCTCTGCTTGCTTTACCCCGGATTCTCGTCTGTTGCCGCTGTCTGGCGTGCCTGGGGATGCGCGGGACGATGTGCCACTCTCACGATACCCCGCGATGGGACGAAAAACGACGTGCGAGCGGGCAGCGATATCTGCATGTTGCCATTGAACGAATTGACAGCTAATCAACTTGCTGCAGTTTTTAGATACCCCTTTTTCATCTCCAAAATCACATCAAAATGCCTGGTCTCGACCTTCAGCATGAGCCCCTCGCGGCCGACGACGTGAGAAGTGAGTCACCTTTTTTTTTTCTATCGTCGCTCTCGAAATCAGATGGAACCCACTTTACAACGTCACTCCCTTCATCCTTGCCTGTCTCTCTGCCCCACACCAATCACTCTCATCTTCGACATCCCAATCGTTCTCGCGACGATACAAACACCACACCGGACTCAACTCCGCCAACCTGATCTCCAAACCTCACCATCCGCAATGGCTAACACACCACCACCACGACAGTCCTGGGCCAGGACCCCCTCATCCCGCCCGCCCTCCTCTCCTCCGAGATCCCCATGACCGACACGGCCCTGCAGACCGTCGTCCGCGGCCGCAACGAGGCCGCCGACATCATCATGGGCAAGGACGACCGCCTCCTCGTCGTCATCGGCCCTTGCTCCATCCACGACCCCGCCACCGCCCTCGAATACTGCGCCCGCCTCAAGGACGTCTCCGCCCGCCTCGCCGGCGACCTCTGCGTCGTCATGCGCGCCTACCTCGAGAAGCCCCGCACCACCGTCGGCTGGAAGGGCCTCATCAACGACCCGGACATCGATTCCACCTTCAAGATCAACAAGGGCCTGCGCGTCAGCCGCACCCTCTTCCGCGACCTCACCTCCGCCGGCATGCCCATCGCCAGCGAGATGCTCGACACCATCTCCCCGCAGTTCCTCGCCGACTTCATCAGCGTCGGCGCCATTGGCGCCCGCACTACAGAGAGCCAGCTGCACCGCGAGCTCGCCAGCGGTCTGTCCTTCCCCGTCGGCTTCAAGAACGGCACCGACGGCAATCTTGGTGTTGCCATTGATGCTATTGGCGCCGCGGCGGCGAAGCACCATTTCATGGGTGTCACGAAGCAGGGCCTGGCTGCCATCACGCGCACCAAGGGCAACGAGCACGGCTTCGTCATCCTGAGAGGCGGCTCCCACGGCCCCAACTTTGACAAGGAGAACGTGCAGAAGGCCAAGGAGACGTTGACGAAGAAGGGCCAGAAGCAGGCCATCATGATTGACTGCTCCCACGGTATGTCCTCCCTTATCGTTGCACGGATTAAAGACTGGGATACTGACTGCGACAGGCAACTCCAACAAGGACCACCGCAACCAGCCCAAGGTCGCCGCCGTCATCGGCGAGCAGCTCAGGGAAGGCGAAAAGTCCATCATCGGCGTCATGGTCGAGTCCAACATCAACGAGGGCAACCAGAAGGTCCCCGCCGAGGGCCCCGCCGCGCTCAAGAAGGGCGTCTCCATCACCGACGCCTGCATCGACTGGGACTCCACCATTGCCGTGCTCGAGGACCTCGCCTCCGCCGTCCGCGCCCGTCGCGAGGTCAACGCCGGCACGGCCAATGGCAACGAGGAGAGCCACAAGGTCACCCACCTCGAGGAGGAGTAAAGTATGTGAAAAGGGAATTTGTGAGGTAGATGGGGCGAAAATGTGGTCAAGGCAGAAAAAGAACATACCAATGTGCGCATGGCATTTGCATTTCGAGGCTTCAGGAGGGAATAGTTTCAAAAGTCATCTTTTCGAGTTTATGGGTTTTGGTGCATGGGTAAAATGATGCTTGCATCCCCCGGTGGTGTCCGGGACGTAGGAGAATATAGATAGCTTTGCTCAACATGGCTTGCATTTTCTCCATTTACTCGACTTTGCGTCATGTACGATACCGTGACCGAAAATGCCTGATGCCCGTAACCGTACCCCGACCGCATGACCGCGGTCCCGTTCCCATCCATAACGCCAGATCCAAATCCGTGCAAAATCAATTCGTCGCCGGCTGCAGAGGACTGTAGTCGCCCCGGCCCCTCCCCGTCTGCGCCGCCTCAGCCTGCCTCTTGCCCTCCCGCAGCTCCTGCGCCCGCTTGAACGCCGCCCAGCCCAGCAGCCCCGTGGTGCCGAGGAGGAACCCCCAGACAATCACCTTGTCCTTGTTGCTGTCGCGCTGGAAGCACATCGTCTGCACGTTCTCCTCCGTCGCGTCGCGGCAGAAGTCGATGCCCCGCGAGAGGCAAAAGGCCTTGGTGCACTGCGAGCAGGACGAGGAGGCGGCGCGCTTGGAGTCGCGGTGGAGGTCTGATGGGGGAAGGTCTCGCGGAGGGTTGGCGGCCGTGTTGTCATCGCTGTGCTGGGGGCCTAGGGCGACGATTGTGCTGTTCTTGAAGCAGGTGCATTTGCAGAATGTTGGTGCTGCTTGAGGGGTGTTAGTAGGCATTGCGCAGAGGCGGAACGCGGGAGAATGTACAGTTTGCGCTGACTAGAGCGACAAGCCCGCAGAGGAGCAGAAGTATGAGTGATAATCGGTTCATTTTGGCGGGGTTCTGGTCGCGATGCCGCCTGCGTCGCAAAGCAGTCGGAGATTGAGGTTGTCGTCGTCAAGGGTTGAGGCTGATGCTGGTCGCTGACTAGTGCACAAGCCACACACTGCCCGCCAACAACCCCCCGTGGCACACCCAACTGTGGCTGGAGCTCTAGCACTCTGATTCGCCAGTCCGATCCAGCAAAAAAGTTCAATTGCGAGCTCCCTCTATCTCGATCGTCGTGCTGCCACTCGGGAGACCTCCAATTGCTCAACGCCGCACCCATAGCACAAATCGCCACGATGCGCAGGGCAACGCGCTTCGGTCAGCCTCTGCTGACCGCTGCATCAGCACCGCAATGTACATGCGCCCCCGCTACACTCCCCATCGCTGCCCGCCGAGCGCTCTCGACGACGTCCACGCTCCAGGCGAACGCCGTCCGCGACCGCGTTCGCAAGGCCCTGTGGAAGGGCGGCGACGCCCCTGGCCCCGAGGATCCCTACGCCGTTGAGGATTCCCAGCTGTCGAAACAGGAGCAGATCGAGGCCGACATCGCCGAGGCCAATGCTCAGTTGGCCGAGTTCGAGGCCCAGTCCAAGGCCCAGTCCAAGGCCCAGCCCAAGAACAGAGTCATCCGGACTCCTCGGCCGCGCAAGTTCCTGAAGCGTCGCCCAAACAGCAAGCTCCGAACGAGTTTTAAATTGACGACGGCACCGACAGAGAGGGAGCTTGAGGACATGAAGGAATACGAACCCGCTATGGAGGGCGGCGGCCTGGAGACGGTTGGAGGCATGGAAGGGTGGTGGGAGAGGAACGGCCGCTGGGGCAAGGAGAGCCAGCTGCCTTCCTTGGCGCGGAAAAAGGTCATCAAGAACAAGGACATCTGCGAGGTGTTTGCCAGGGTGGCCATCACCGAGGCGCTCATCGTGGCGCGCGTGGACCCGGCGTCGGCGGCGGGCAAGTGGAACCAGTTGACGGCCAAGGACATGAGGCGGGCGTTTGCGTTTGGCATCAAAGTATCCGAGGACGGCACTGGAGTTATCCTCGGAGGAGAGAGAAACCAACAGTCTGTGCCGATGAAGCTGCATAAACCGCAAGAAGTAGTCGAGCCGAAGGTGAACGTTTCTCCCGAGGAGGCCAAGAAGCTGGTAAAGTCCTGGGACAGTGAATGGAAGAAGGTCTCTCTGCGGGACGCCGTCGTCAATTTTGCAGTAAGTTCTGCCCCGTTCTCAACAGCTCGTCGCAGAAATGCCTGACCGTCTTTAGTTCAACAAGCGCTTCAACCAACTGACGGGCCACTCCACCCACGACGGCAAGCTGGTGCAGCTAAAGACCGTCGGCAACTTCCTCGAGGATATCGCCAAGCCTCCCAAGCCCGTTAACGTCAAGGTCGCCGAAGCGGTCCAGCAAGAGGGCAGCCTGCCGGCTCTGGCCAACGTCGCGCTGCACGAGCGCCGCGTCACGCCGATCGACAAGGAGACGGCGGTTGGTCGGTGGAAGGTCATCACGAAGGAGCTCGAGAAGAGATCGCTGCCGGTCACCGGCCACGAGCATCTCCCCAAGCCGGTCCAGAGGAAATGGATCCTGGGCCAGACGTAGGGGGCGGTTGGATGTGGTATCCTGGGATGACGATACGAAAAATAAGGGAAACACAACGGAGAGGAATGTGTCTGGCATAGACCCTTGTACAGATAATGTACTCTTTGTAACATATGGAACATCATCGATTCTTGCTCTAGGTCTGCTATGATGGTCTTTGCTGTGGCATGTTGACTGGCGATTGTTGTGGCAGCTTGTGGGCATCAAAATGCATTGAGTAAGGCCCCTCGACCTTGATTAGATGCCTGATCTTCCCGGCAGGTGCTCTCTTGCCTCACAGCACCATCGATGACCACTGTTGCCCTGGACATAGGTAACTGGGACGCACAACAAAGGCACCTGCCAAATCGACGCCGCTCCTTCTATTTCTTCCACCTTCCAACTCCCGAGGCGAGCACCTTGTGTTTCGTCTCTCGATCGAGTCCTTGTGAGGTACCTCACTCATTCCTCCTTCATCCTTCCTCTCGCCGTCCCTACTTTCTACCCCGGCGGGTGGCCGCGCAGTTTTGTTTCTTTCATCTCCTCCGCATCCTCCTCCTTCCCCGCGTCGTGGTTATCGTCATTGTCGTCATCGCCCTCTCCCTTAAGATGCCAACCTCGCCGCCGTACCTGCGCGGCTACCCGGCCGAGCAAAGACGTGACGCCTGGCTACAGTGGGCATTTGAAAACATTAGCCCAGTCTTTGAGCGCTTCCCCGGAGAACGCGCTTACGTCGTTTTCCAGTTGGAAAATCTCGAGTGGATAGGAAACTGCGGCCTTCCTCCCGCCAACAGCGACTCGGACGCCTGGTGTCGCCTCAAGCAAACCTGGGGTCCCTCAGAGCCGCCTCCCAAGGGAACCATTCCCTCAGTGGCTGACTGCGAGGTCGTGCGTCTTTTGAACAAGGGCTACGTTCACGAGTACATCGAGCTGAACCTGAGGAAGCACGGCTGGGATCCCTACAAGTGCTGCGATCCCTCTGTCAAAGTCGAGCAGAAGAGACTCAACGCTCCTTCCCCGGCGAAACCTTCTTCCTCGGCGGCGGCGACTCCTGCTTCGACTGGTGTTCGTTCGTCTGCGGCGGCTTCTTCCTCCACGACAGCTTCTTCCTCCACGACAGCTCCTGCCTCGAAGACAGCTCCTTCCTCGAAGACAACAGGAACTGGGGTTCCTACCAGTGGAGCGACACCCGGCGAATTACGTGATCGCTTGATATCTGCCATGTCTTCGCCCTCCCGAGGTGCTTGGGCACCTGGACGTGGGGCTTCCTCATCTGTTCGAGGCACCTCATCGCCAGTTCAAAGCATTGATTCACCCGGACGCGCATCCCCTTCACCCATTCGTGGCGGTTCCCCATCAGGCCGCGGTGGAAGAGGTCCTGGTACCAGCGGACGGGCTTTCTTCATGTCTGGACGTGGCGGCCTGTCACCAAGACCGTCTCGGCCTACGGAGACTACTCCGTCTACGCCAGTGTTGCCGAAGCCATCAACTTCTTCCCCTTTCACCCCCCCGACAAGACCGATCGTTAAAGAGGAAGGCATTGCTCGGCGCACGCCTCCTCCCGCTGTGCCAGTGAACCGGAACGCTGGTATTGGATCCACTAGATCTAAGAAGCCTGCCCAGACAGCCCCAAAGGTTCACACGTGGACACCCACGTTTGGATCGGTGCCAGCTTCTTCCCAAGCAGCACAAACCAACTCGACCAAGTCGACGACAACTCCTGCAACCGGCTAGAAGCCGTCTGGAAGCACGTTCGGCGGAGAGAAGGACTTTGGTGGACAGGGTTGTCTCTTCGGGCAGCCCGAAACCCCAAGCCTGAATAAATCAACAGCCTTCAACACGTCTGTCTCTGAATGGGGGGTTTCTGGAATTCAGAATGCTAGAGGAGGCTCCGCCGAGAATCAAACGAAGCATGATGCCTCTCCTGGACGTCAAACCGGCAACCCAATGGTCGGGAAACACAACACTCCGCCTCGAGGGGTACCTTCGTCTTCCAAGCCTGTTGTCAGCAGCGGGATTCCCGTCGATGGCAGCAAAGGTAGTGTTGGCGCCCGTGTCATCACGAACCCACCGCGTGCAGATAATCCGTCCAATGCTGTCCAGGATCCTGCCCCATCATGCGATGAGCTGGGAGGAGACTCATTTGGAAGACATCCCCGCGGTGTTCCTCTGGCAAACGACTCGACTCCGCAGAATGTGAAACGGAACCTCCAGCCTCATAACAGCCAGTCGCGGCCGGTGGCCGAGAAGGATAGTAAGACACAGTCTCCAGCCAGCGCGAATCTTCAAGCAACAGTCACACCGAAGGAAGAGCACCTTCATGCGAATGATGATCTACACAAGAACAATATCGAGAGAATGTCGGCCAAACTTTTCAAGAGTTCTCGCCCAACTCTGCATGCTTACCTCCGTGACGAGATTGAGGCCATGTCGAAAACCGTTGTGGGCAACATGAGAAAGCGCACTGTTGAGGTGCTCGGCCGTCAATCAAACTCTCATCTCGGATTCGCTACTCTTCGAGACGTCGAAGACCTTACGCTCGTAATGATGGAAGCTGAGATAAACTCGGTGAGGAAAGCTGCCTTGGAACAGATTGACAAGCTCAACAAGCAGGGCTCAGATGTCCCGATCAAGCGCGAAGCTAGCGAGTTCGAGGAAGAAGGAGTCGCTGAACATGCTCGAGAAGCCAAGCGCCAGCGCACCTCCAACAGTGCCAACTCGCAGGATTGTGTTCAGTCATGAAAGAGCCTGGGGTTCAGCGGTGGGCAGAGATACAGGGACTTGCACCATGACAGTCAGTTATGTATGATACTTGAGAGCTTCGAGACGAAAATTAGGGTATGGAATTGCAACGTCAGCCATGTTAGCAACCGCAACAGCACGCTGGTTGCTTACATAGTCTACAGAAAATGGAGGGATGTTATCAGATTTTTAGTTCTTACATTTATGTGATGTTTGTCAACAACCGTCACTAACGTTCAGCGCAAGGCCTTCCACCTACTTGCAAACCTTTTCGGCCTCCAATGCGGGTATCCGTAACAAAGGTGCGGAACGAGACCATATATGGCCCAGCACTGTTGATATCAAGGCTTGAGACAATGGTCCCCAACTCGCTTCTACAGCTCAGGGGACGACCAGCTGAGTAGGCCGTCACCGACCCTGCGCGACGCTATCTCTCGCACCTAGATGGCCGTCTATTCTTGTCGCCGACGGGATAATCTACGCGCGACGGTCCTCCTTGTGGGTCCATATGACCGAAACGTGCCGGCACCGCCGGCTGGGCTTTGCAACGCCTGTTTCGGCCGGCTGTGGCTGGTCAGCAATTGATTAGCCAAGACCTGGGAACAACTAAATATAATGAACGGTAAAGCGAGAATGGGCAGAATTAAGGTCCGCGTTTAAGTGATCTGGAGTACTCCGTCAACGCGAGTACAGATGAACACCGTCGCGGAGCGAGTACAATTGGTCGGCGATCTCAATGTCCACAATTTAAAAGAGCTTGTCCTGAGTCAGTGGCACATAGCATGATAGCATGCGATTATATCGCCGCCGAGTTGTACAACTCCCTTGGAATATCTATAAAGCAAGTCTTCTCTTTTTGTGTTCCTGGTGTTGGTTTCCGCAGTCGATTACCACAAGTCAACCGTTCCAACAAACAGTCAAGATGCGCTACTTCTTCGCCCTTGCTACCCTCATCACCGCCGCTCTGGCGGTTGCCATCTCTGAGCCCCAGGGCAAGTGCAACCCCGACTTCAACTGCTGCACTTTCTCCGAGTCGGCGTGCAGCGAGCGCCTCCAGGCGTGCACCAGGACTTGCAACGTAAGTTCAATTCTCTACTCGACGACGTGAACTCCCCAGAGACTGACTGTGACCAACGCAGGGCGTGACCACCAAGGGCATTTGCAACGACCTGGGCGCCGGCTCTCTTACCTGTGATGCCGCTTAGATTCAAGTCATTGGTCCGGTGTTGGTGGAGTTGTGAGATCTTCAGCATTAAGCGTACATATGGGAGGGTTTTTGCATCAGCGGCATCATAGCATGAAATGAAATACCGTAAAATCAAACTTTCATTTCTTGATAAATTCAGCGAGTGAAAGCAGAACTACTTCTTGATGGTTCAAGTTAAACCCAACCCAGAGAATCGAAAGCCCCAGAACCCACCACAACGCCCGTTCAACACATGATGTTGTTGATCGCAGCCATCAGCAGCTGCACCCGCACTTCTCACAATTCCCCTGCCCGCAAGCCGCGTTCTTCACAGGCTCACACTCCCCTTTACCCTTGCACTTCCTCCAGTCGCCGAACCCGTCGCCCCACGCGGTCCAGCACCAGTGGCCCTTCTCGGGGTTGCACTTCTCCCAGCAGTAGCCGTCGGTGCAGCCATAGTTGTCGCCCCACCAGCAGTCGCGCGCGAAGACCGTGGCGTCCGTGGCATCCGCGGCGGTGTCGCGCGGGCTGACGAGGGATAGCGGGTGTTCCTTGCACTTGCGGATATCGGCGGGGCTGATGCCGGCTTGGGTGGCGGCGTCGGTGGAGGACATGACGCCGAGGGGGCCGCATTCTTCGGCGGCGGTTGGGGCGGGGCCGGCGGAGGTGAGGGAGAGGCGGGCGGCGAGGGTTAGGAGGGTGGTGGTGGTGAGCTTCATTTTGCGGTTATGGATACTCGGCGTTGCTCTTCGGTTAGAGACGGCTTTCCTTTGAGAAGGAGTCGAGATATTGTCGAGATTGATTGAGATTGGCTTCTGTTGAAGGTGTATTCTGCTTGTGGCTCCATTCACCCTTTTGCAGGAAGATCAACTGGGCCTTTATAGATAGATCTTTGGTCTTATCCAGCATGCAGCTTTTCTTTTCCTTTCTGCTGCAAGGTAATTCACAAGTTCTTCATCGAACGAACGCCGAGTCTATGGATCGTCTCTAGCAGTCTGCATCCCGAGTTGAATAGCCTACTGAAGTGAAGGCGTGGCACGTCGTAGTCGGACAGATGTTGTGGCTGGTTAAACCAGGCTCTGGGTCTTGGGGGAAGAGTTCTCCATCCGGGCGATATCTCTGGCTAACGGGGCAGAACATGTGTTATTCCTACCTCTTCTATGTCTACTTGTGGCTAGGTATGTAAAAGCCAGTAAGGGTTCTCTTTGGTCTGTGCATGTCTGCTGTTTGCCGGGAGCAACCGATGACAACATGCCCCTTGCGGATGACAACATTGCTCGTGGGACTTGAATCAACAACTCCCTAACCTTTTCGCATCAGCACGTGGAACAATCGCCAACGGCTCGCATGCCAGGCTTACTTGACAAATCTTTCGGTGTGCCTTCATCCATACATCTCTAGCCAACCCTGTCCAACGTTGTCAAAGTTGCGGTGAACCTACCATGTATTCCTTGCGGAATGCTCCTCAGAGCTTTCATCTAGGACGGGACGCAGCTGCATAGCAGACCGCGACATCTACTCTCAAGTGCTCGGACGCACGATTCACACCCTGTTTCAATGTTGCGAGGCTTCGATTTGGGTACATCGGAATATCCTAACCGAATACCGACTTAAGCGTCCAGACCAGCTGCCAGAGCCACCCAAAACTGACTCCCATAAACCATATATCACCGGAGATCACTCCGGAATACGCAAAGAAAGGCCTCTTTTATGCAATAAGCCCAGCCCAGTGCTTCCACACTGTATGTCAAATCAGACCCCTGGCTTCAGCTGTCCGCTAGCGCAGATCCCATCTCGCGTCGCACGACGCACCGCTAGGCGCACTTGGTAACGCTCGTGATTGGGCCTTGGGGAGGTGTTTACACCCCAACAGGCAATGGGGCAGAAAAAGCAAGTAAAATGGGGAAAGGCGTCGACGGTCGCGTCAGGCCCCTTTCAGCTCTAGGCCCTGTGGTTGAAAAGGACAAAATGCACCGGACACGAGATAGCGAGGAGTGATGACCTGTCTAGCGCTGTCTGGCTTTGACAAAGATCACTAATCTGGTCGAAGAGGTAAAATATCGAGGAAATGCGTGGGCAGACTGACAATGGCTCATCTCCAAGGCCGGCAGGTCGCTTAAGCGTCTGTCGACATGCTGTAGCCACGATGATGCCGCAGTCGACTGTAGCACGCACAAAATGCAAAGTCTGAGCAACAATGCCGAATACTGTGTAAGGCTCACCACAAGGGGGACAATATCTATCTGACGGCAGTAGCGCGGTCTAGCCCCAAGTCAAATAGATCCAGGCTAACTGGAAACATGCCAGATTTTCGACTGTCTAACCCCAAAGTGCAAATCCCTTGTTCGGGAGCCAAGTCCAAATCCCCGCGGATTCGTCCTCAGCCCCAGGAAGGTCGGGACTTTTCTCCCTGTGCTTTCCCATCAGAATTTCCGCATCGTCTCATCGAAAAGTGCTAGAATATACATCTTGAACAGCATCAATCGATCGCGATGTCTGCAATCACGAGCTCGTACCCGTCTCTGTCGAGCATGGTGCAACCGGCCGTGAGCGCCGTGGTCTCGAGCGAGGACAACTGGAAGGGCAAGACAAGCCCGGCCGAGAGGAGGAAGATCCAGAACAGGCTCAATCAGCGGACGTGGAGTAAGTGGCACCCACCACATGCAACCTGCTTACGGTGCCTCCCTTCGTGGTGCCCCGCCACCGCATGCCCTCTGCTTATCACGGCCTCGAGATGGAATGGGAGTTGAAACGGTTCACTAACGCGCACGTCGAAACGTATTAGGACAGCGACGGAAGGTGGAAAGACTGCGCCAAGGCCAGGGAGCGGCCCGGGGCGCTGGTGCAAGCATCTCGCCGACCGAGTCCACGGCCCTTGTCCCGCGCAAGACCTCGTCGTCTTCCACCGCCTCTGAAGATACCTCTCCTTCCAGCGGCGATGCGGAGACGTACATGTACACCACGGCCATGGAGCTCTCACGCCCCAGCGCGAGGCGCTCGAGGGCCAATGGGGAACGATTATATGCCAAGCACGCGACGTTGATGGCGCTGACGTACATCGGACGCAGGCGGCAGCTGCTGGACTTGAAGGACGAGGACATGGACGAGCTGTACGACCTGTTCCTGATGAAGGCGATGCACTCGGGGACGGACCCAATGTCGGACTCGCTGATCCCGCTGGTGCAATTCAACCTCTTCCGGGGGTTGATGGAGAACATGAAGACGCTTGGGATCACGATGCCGATGGTCTGCGACGAGGACTGCGTGTCGCCGTTCGGGACGGACCCGCGGTATAACGTGCGGACGGTGTGGAGCGTGCCGGTGTATCTGCGGCCGACGGAGACGCAGCTGACGGTGGTGCACCATCCCTGGCTGGACTTTTTGCCGCTGCCGCGCATGCGGGATAACCTTATCAAGGCGGACGGGAGCTATGACGACGAGGAGCTGTGCCTCGACATGATTGGCGACGGAGATGCGCCGTCTGGGAAGGGGGAGATGATTCTGTGGGGAGACCCTTGGGACCCGATGAACTGGGAGGTGACGGAGCTGTTTGTCAACAAGTGGCGCTGGGTGTTGGAGGGGTGCGAGGAGATGATTCGGTCGTCGAACTTTTGGCGGGCGCAGAGGGGGGAGAAGAAGATGCGGGTGAAGCTCCGCGGATGATGTGGCTTGCGTCGAATGGCCACTCTTGTACCAAAATCCAACCCATTGTGTCGCGATACTCTGGGGCTTTCTTGTTCGTTTTTCTTCGAGGCACGTCTAGAGATGGTCAATGTATTGGCTACCTATGGAATGGAAACTACCTTGTCTCTGC